TCGACACTTCCATAAAAAGGACGCCCCGCTACACGACAAAGTGCAACGGGGTAAGACGCAGCCTTTGGCTGCAAATAAAAGTCCTTTTTTTTTTATCCGGCACACTTTCTTTTCAACCGACCTGTCTCACTCATAACACGCAAGCGTCCATACCTTGCATTTTCTGGCACCCCAAGTCAAGCCCTCCTCGCATCATTGTCCTTCACGACTTTTCCCTAAATTGCGAAGTCCACTAAACGACAAACGCAACTCATACAAACGCAGCCTAAATGGCAGCGAACTCGACCCTCAAGGGCAAAAGGCGATCGAGGGTTCATGTTCGAATACCACTACATACTGGACACAAGTCAGTTGGAAGAACGCATGTGAAAGCTACCAAGCAGGTCCTGGGTTTGAATCCTCCCTGAGACGGTTGGGATGGAAGTACATATATGACTGCTGGCAAGTACGTCCCGAGTTCGAATATGACCTGACCCTGGAAGCAGGAGAATAAGAAAGACATGTCGGTGACTACAGAGAGGCCTGTGTAGTCGTGCAAACACAGGCACGGGGAAAGAGGCAGGCATTTTTGCCTCGGCCGTTGGCTGCGGGCATTGGCCGCAGTGCCCGAGACCGTGTGAATTGTCTCGGACCAAGCTGAGATAAGTGAGCGTGATTGCCTACACTGTAGGCTAATTTGGTGTTTGAAGTTCTGCTATCAAGTTGTGGTACTATGGCAAGTGAGGAGCCGCGGAACCATCAGGGCGGCTACAACAGTGGTGGAGGTGAACGCGATCGTAGTCGCGACCGTGAACGCGACCAGAATTGGGATCGTGACCGTGATCGAGATCGTGAGCGGGCACGTGATGGTGACCGAGATCGGAATCAGCGGAAAGGACCGCCTAGATGCTTCAAGTGCAATAGCATCGGGCACTATGCTAACCAGTGCAGCTGGTTTGATGCTCCTTCCACTTTCAGAGATTCTTATAGAGGACGCTCGACTTCTCCGCGTCGTGGACATCAGGCGAAGTCGTCTTCCTCCGGAGAAAGCCAGATGGCATCCAATATTGAGAAGCTAGGACAGAACGTCGCTAGCTTACAGGAGTACGTGAAGCTCGAGCTCTCTAAGAAGAGTAAGAGGGAAGCCAAGAAGAAAGTGAAAGAACTGGCGAAGCAGCGCGAGGAGGAGGAAAGGATGGAGCGTGAACGACGAATTGCTCGAAAGGCGGAAAAAGAGAGGAAAGCAAAAGAGAAGAATTTGAAGTTGGCGAAGAGCGTTGACTTACAACTATCGTTGAAGATTGGAGAATTGCGCGAGGAGATCCGTCACGAGCTGCGGAGAGTTATCAAGGGTAAAGCTAAAGACGTCAAACAAGCATGCAGCAGAAGTACTAGCGATTCCAACGGGAATGGTGTCGGCGGAGTTGATGGTTTGAGCGCCATGGCAGGGCGGCTGACGATCAACGAGAAACGAAAGAGAGGCGAAGAGCCCGTATTTGAGGATAGCCCTCCTATGGAGATTCCTCCGAAACGAACGCCGGCCAAATGTTCGTTTGTCAAACCAATCAGGCTGACCTCGCGGTTGAAGTCCCGGACACCGGAGACGATGTTACGTACGAAGTTGAAGAGGAGGAGCCGACAGGCTTCCAATAAGAAGATTCCCGCCGAATGTGGCGAGTTAGGGCGTCTTCGCTACCTGGATTCAGTGCGACGTGATCTGATCGACTTGGACGCTAAGGCTTTGGAAGCGTTGTGCAAGAAAATCGGTATCGAGTATCGTGGCAAGATAAACGCCATCTTTGATATTGCCGATAGTAAAGCCTCCTTGGCTTATAACTCAGCGGAAGAGTGTGAAGCAACTGAGACAGACCTGGGCAAGGAAGCCTTGGATGTAGGGAGTGGGAAGGATGTTGAAGGTAATGTGGAAGACAGTGATGATGAATCGGAGGCAGCCATCCACGAGTAGGGGTGCATGAATCTGCGGCGTCAACTCCTTTATCTATGCAACGTTCGTAAACAGTTGAGCGGCATCGATCCTACCATTGAAGCTGTCATCAGGTTACTGATCCTGAAGCTTACCTTATGCGGCGCATTAAGGTGGTGTCAAAAGTTCGTCTCATCATGGATTCGACTTTTTGAACACTTTGGTATCTCCTTCTTGGAGAAGTCCTGTTGTGTGTATGCTGTTGTTTCTCCCTTTTGCAAATCTCAGTACTTTGGGAAGACGACCCGCACAGTCAACGTTCGTTGGCGTGAGCACCGTTATGCTTGTAAGAATCGTAGTCCTACTCATTTCTACTGATGGTTAGCATGTTTTGGGTGGGAAAAGTATGTGTTGATTCCCATCGATATTGCTGACGCAAATGAGCTTGAAGCTCTTGAGTCTTTTTACATTCGGCAATGGTTGCCATTTTTGAACTCTTCCAGTACTCTGTCCAGGAAACGTAACCGTAAGAAATGTCCCACCGGTAGGAAGGAACGCATTCTTAAGCAGTCTAATCCTGTCGTTTCGTGTAGTCATTCCTCATGTCCGGTGAGAGTGCGACGTGCGGATCAGGATTGTGAGACCCTGCACGTACGTGACTTGCTAGTATCAGCCTACGAGAAGAAGGAACATCGATTCACGTTGTCTTTTTCCGGGGGTAACTCTTGGCTGGATACGTTGCATGCGATTGTCAAAGATTTTGGCAAATCTACGGTGCTGGTCCGTGGCAGTCAGTGCTGTCTGAGTGAATGTAAGTCCGCCTTCGAAGCTGGGGGTGTTTTTGATTTTCTATTTTTACGAAGATGGAGACCGACCAGTGGACCGTATAAAGGAATTTTAATTTATATTTTACGAAACCCTAGGCGGTTGAATGACATTTTTTCTTGGCGCTTCAGCAATCTTTTGAAATTGTATAATGTTGTTAAGGAATTTAGTCGTGAGTCTACTAGGCGCTATCTTTGTCGACTGTTGAGCAGGGTTTTTTCCGTTAAGCATGGAATCTTTGTGAATTCTGATTTGATTGTCCGGATTGGCTTTGACGACCGGATTAAGCTCTCCGAAGTTCGGAAAGTCGTCAACGACCAAGTGATGAAATGTGAGCTACCCTCGTGTTTTGCTAAGAGTTCGCGTCGGAAGATCCGCACAGTTTGGACCAAGAATCGGACTGTGGGGGACATTCTGCACAATCAGAGGACATTTGCCTCTAAGTGTGTGCTTGTCTGTACTTGTTCAGGTTTGGCCGCTCCATTGGAAGACGGTCATGTGCGCTTTCGTCTTAGCAAATGTGAGGGTCTGCATCCGCTGGTAGTTAATGCTAAGAATATCCCTGTGGAAAGAAAGGAGGACAGGGTGGCTAGTTTGAGGAACAAAATCTAGGATGCTTTTGTTCGATGGAGGAACTGTGGGGCTTCGCCCGACTTAACTACTGCTGAATTTTCCTCCTGTTTGGTTAAAGGAGACGAGTTTCCGGCTAACGCCCTTCCTCTTTCTTTTGTGAATGAGGTCAAGGATCGATTCAGTGGTCTGGTGATGACTCCGCTGGATCGAAATCCCGACGAAACTCTGGTGCTATGTCCGCGACTGTACTACGAAGCTATGATGGATACCTTTGTTCGTAATCCATGTTACCAGGTCGTTGATCAATCTGATGCTTGTGTGTTACGGACCGTTAGGGAGGAAGTTGGTTTGTTGGGTTTGACTCGTTTCGTTAAATGGGACTAATCGGGATCTTTCAGAGACTCGTACGTTATGCCAAAGCATAAGGACGTGGACCGTTATAGACCGATCTGTCCAACGTACAGTGAACCAATGATGAAGACCGGACGGGCAGTATCGAAAGCTTTGAACCACTTGCTGTTTTGTTTACCTAAGCACTGACATTTTAACTTGCCCGCTATATCGTTGTTGGCAGATAGGCTCCAAGGGATCAATGCTAAGATCGACCGAATGCATGGTGATGTTCAAATTTCAGCTTTCTCGTACGATATTAAGGATATGTTTAGCCTTCTGCCGGACGATTGTATCCTAGAGTCGATCGATTGGTTGATCTCGGTGTACCTGCAGAAAGGTAGGGAATTCGTTCGGGTAAATACCAGAGGCCGCGGCGCCTCCTTCGGACTCACCACGGGAGGCGATGATTGGAGAAGACTTGAGCTGCAGGATGTTCGCAAGTTCGTGAGCCTTGAGCTGAGGCATACGTATACCCATGCAACCGGTGTTCTGCTTAGGCAGGTGGTCGGTATTCCGATGGGGAAAAGTACGAGCCCCCCTTTGGCATGTATTATGTGTGCCTTTGTCGAATTCCGCTTTTTGTCGACGTTGAGTATGAAGAATGTCTTGGTTTTTGGTATCAGGTTAGTCGATGACATGTCCCTGTTCATCACCCACCCGACGGCAGCTGATGTCATAGGAATCAGAAGGGCTTTCGAACATTGCTATCCTGACAACCTGACTCTCAAGCGTACTGACGAGGGTACAAACCAGTGGGGCTTTTTGGGTTGTCAGATGAGAGTCCGTCAAACCTTTCCTTTTATCCGCAGCGTTCAGGTTTCCAAAAATCTGGTCTGATGACTTTTTGGAGATTCAAAATGGGCAATCCTTTTGGTCCTGGGGTAGTAAAAGCCAAAAGAGCGCTGTCATTAGCAGCCATCTTCACCGCATCAACCAGAATACCACGATTCGTAGCGAAATCCCTATTCGAGTGTTGACGCTGAAACGGGAGCTTCGGCTGAAAGATTTCCCTGAGGCTTTCTTTCTCAGGGTTTTGAAACGCTTCGCTTTCCGCAGAGATCGAATCTGGAAGGTTACGGTGGACTTGTTAGAATCTTCAGTTTAACTCAAGTAGGGGGACTTTGTGATTAGTGTTTTGATTTGCTCCATGTCTCTTGACTCGGCTTCGATTCATTAGACAGGGACCGACTCTCAGCCCTGGGATCTGACAAATTCTGCCGAACCAGGTCTGCACTTTTGCGTTTTTTCTGTCTGCTTGGACCTGTGTTTGTCGTTTTGCGGGGATGGTCACGTTCTTTTAGTTTTTAGTGTTTTGATTTGCTCCATGTCTCTTGACTCGGCTTCGATTCATTAGACAGGGACCGACTCTCAGCCCTGGATCTGACAAACTCTGCCGATCCAGGTCTGCACTTTTTCAGTGTGTTGCTGTTTTTTTCTGTCTGCTTGGACCTATGTTTGTCGTTTTGCGGTGAGATTTTCACGTTCTTTTAGTTTTTAGTGTTTTTCGGAAGAATATGGGCCCATTGTCGTACCTTGTACGTCCGTTGACGCCCACTTGTTTTGGATGTGCTTTAACCACGAACCAGGGGAGTTGTCTGTCTCCTTCTGGTCCTCTGTCCCGAGTCACTTCGTCTAAGTACTTAAGTTCGATTGCGGATGAGTTTTTCCTCATTCAGGACCGACGCGTATACAGCGTCGGCATTTCCGGAGATGCTGATGTCGAATAGCGCGGAGGCGGGATAGTGGTGGAATGGTGTAGAGGGGACGTGTGGTGGAACCCCCTGATGAGGACTGCGCGGCGGCAGTCGAAACGTGCATCGGGGAGCCGTTTCTGATCTGATGTACTTCAAGTTTTCTCTAAGTACTTTGACTTTTTTCGTCTACATGTGTCAATTGTCTTCGTGACTTTGTCTACATGGACTTGTGTGCTTCACCTTACCTATCTCATCTCATCGCAGTGCGCGGAATTACTTTTTTTTTTTTTTTTTTTTTTTTTTTTTTTTTTTTTTA